CATGCTAATTAGTGTCCATAAATAGTTTGACATTTGTACAAAAAAAAAGTCTCGAAACACTTGATATGAAATGTAAGAAATATATTAACCAATTATTATCGTTTCTTTAAACCTTACGAGTAATATTAATATATATTACTGATAAATTATTCTTCAAGAGTCGCTTAAATACGATGAAATAAGACGATATGAAATAAAGCTATTATATGGGAAAGTATAAAATCAAAATTCAACTCCTATAATTACATACACGCAACGTACGATACACGTACGAACGCATACACACGTATCACCGTATATGCTCTCGAGTTTTCGTTATAACGCGAGATCAAGCAGCAGAGGGAGAGAAGGTTTAATTGAAAATCCGGGTAGTAATCGTGCACGAAATTGTCGCGCTCAAAATCACATTTTCACCTTGATCTGGAATACCAACGGTATATTCGCTCTTAATCGCGATTCTTATCTAGTTCGTCATCGATTCACTCAACGTCTCAACGAATAGAAAAATTATTTTTAAAAAAAGAGGAAAATAAACGAGAGACTTAGGAAAAAAGAAAATAAAGAAAAAGTAAAAGAAAAAGAAAAAGAAAAAAAAAGCGGAGGATAAAAAGAACTTTTTCGATATCATCATATTTCTTAAGGAAGCCCGACAGGATCGATGACATTTTCAGCAATTTCAGCGAAATTAGATTGCGCTTACTAGCTCACGGAAGAGAGAACCTAGCAAGATTTTCCTTCTATCTCGATCTCTTTTACCTTTTGCTATCGAACCATTCGTAGGAAATCATCTTTTAGTCTTTTAGATTCCATCTAAATTATCACCCTACTTGTCGTCGGATATAAAGCGAGTAATTGAAGGAGTACTCAATTTTTTTTTTAACCCCATTTTACCACACTACTATTTTCGTTTGTTTGTTATGATTAATTTTATATCCGTTGATTGTCGTATAAAAAAGAGAACAAAAAAAAATCTTTAGTGTAGGAAGAACGATCTTCTAGGATATGAAGTTACAACTGGTAAGGTTGGAAGGGTCTATCGTAGAATACTTGGAACGTAGGAGAACTTCATCGTCCGATTCGCGTAACAATGGACGTGAATGTTCTTCCCGTCTTTTCTCACGTACAACGATAGCACGTGACCGTGCTTGCGAAAAGCGGTTTCCACGTCGTTGGCCTTTTACTCTTTTATTTTTTTTTTTTTTTTTTTTCATTTTATATCTCACTCACTCACTCACTCATTCACTCACTCACTCACTCACTCACTCTTACAAGTAACATCGATAGCAGAGCAGCGGCTTCGAAGCAAGTGGAGTCACCGGTTGACACATTACCGCGGCACGTGCCCGTGGTATTTCGTATTACACCGGCAAGCTAATTAACTTGGGGGCCTTCGGTTATTAATCCGCAGGAAAACCGCTCCAATGCTGCAGACCATCGTCGTGGCAGAGAACCGAACCACATCGACGACGACGAAGGTCGCTGGACCAACCCACCATCGACCGGATGCGTCCCGTATATCCCATATGAAACCTGACTGACACGATCTGACGAGAATTTCCGTTTAATAGTACACCCTACCTACATTTTCCTTCTATAATTTATCCACTAAAGATTCGAACTTTTAACGATAATTAACAAACCATTTACGTTTGACTTTATATAATTCGTATTACAAATATAAAATTACTTTTTATTATCTAATTATTTCTACTTTATATTTTTATACGTTCGACGTTAATTTGATCATTGATTTCGTTCTATGAGATATAATACATGATAACGTAATTTACATTACTCGTTTATTTAATAGCGAAATATATAACGTAATATAACATTATATACACATTTTCATAATTTCCGCTACTTATGATAATCGTGTGATATATTCTAAATAAAATGTACCTTTTGCTTTCATTCAATTTATATACCGATCTGACGCTTATACCTTTCGTTAATTTTATGGTTTTTGATAGAAAATAAAAAGAATATATTTTTAAAGAAACAAAAATCATAATAATGATTATAGTAAAATAATGATTAATTATTGATTTATATCATGACTATGAGAATATCGTCAGAACTCGCATTAATACTTCGCTAGGTATTATAAATTTCGGCGTATTACTTATGGCGTAAAGTCATAAAATTCATAACGACGCGGAGCGGCATAATAACAATGAACGAGCAGAGAGTGTAGTGTGCAGACGTGTTACAGCATTCGTAGAAATTTACGACGGAACGTCGTACCCACTGCACCGTCCTACCAAACTGTTCCTACACATAAGCTTCAAACTTTCGACATAGTTGCCGAAATAACATGAAAACATAACCAAACTTTCTTCCTCTTCGGTAAACTTTCTCTTTTTTTTCTCTCTCTCTCTCTCTCTCTCTCTCTTTGTTTTTCTTTTTTTATGCTATAAATTTTGCGAGGTCGTTAGATTGAAGAGAGACAAATGGATATAAAAGTGTGAACAAAAATTTGAGAAAATCTATCTCGCGAACGAGTATAATCGAAAAATAACGTGTAATCTAACGTTAAAAAAACTCTACGATCGATTTTTCAACTCACAAATCTATTTGGTTTTTATTTACGATCTATCCTTTTAATATTTTCATCGATAATTATTTCTTCCGAAAATCAAAGATACGTCATCCTAGGGTTCGTCTAATTCACCTTTTTCATTGTTAAATCTCATCTATAATACTAGGAAGATTCGTAGGTATGCATTTGACATACGATTGTGAGTTGAATCGTTATATTCTAACAAATTCCATGTTTTGATTGACAACAATACGATGCAACGTGTCTAGAACCCTGTAAATAACAATCGAATAGTATGGGACATAGAGTTCTGCAGAAATAGAGAGATATACTTCGATTGTGTGCGGCCCTTCTTGCGAATCTATTTAGTCGAATTCGACTTGACAAACGAATTGAACTTGTTAGTATAATGAACATAAACAGAGATTCATCGAGCAGGCATCAGGCTTTCATCTTGGCGATTCGACATCAAACGCGATCTAATTTCAAATCAAGTTCTACATCAATCTCGCGGTGTTTTGAACCGAATATGATCGTATCGGATCACGTAATTATAGTTCGATCGTGTTTCCATTAATCCTCTTATGTTAGTTGACAAAAATTCATAGATGGTTTGTATGATGAGAGTCAGAGATAGAAACAGACAAACAGACAGTCGGGCAGACAGACGAACAGAGAGAAATACAATCGAGGACGATTCAGGTGAAACATTCCCTTTCGTATGAACTATACAATAGCATGAACTAAATTCTGATCGTGTGCGGAGATGTCGCACTGTAATTAACCGCAGCAGCATGTGACAGGCGTAACCACGTCTCGATGTGGACATCTAACCGCTAATCCGTTATACCTTGCTGTTTCGCATCGGAAGCCGTTAGCGCAACATCGAAATCCTTCCCCCAATATCGACGTTCAGATATCACCGCTATCGAGTCTACTATGCTCATTCCATAACCGGAAGTATTCTAATATCGTTCGCGTAATTGACTGCATTGATGCAAGACCATTTTGCAAGTAGTTCCCAAACGGTTTCTATTACGCTTTATCCTTGTTCACCTAAATACTGCCTACTGTACGTATTATATAAAATACACTAACTAACGAAAGATGATCGATCAATGATTTATCGATAGAACGATACGACGCTGATATTTTAAAAAAAATTATAGAAACGAGAAATAAGTATTAAGCGTGTATAACCAAAATTTTAAGTAAAAAGAATATTGAGTCTAACAACCTATCCTCGGTGTAAAAACAATAAAGCACTATCGGAAATAACAATAAAAAAGCTATTATAACAGAACTAAGTCCTAATAATAATAAGAAGAATGTTAAAAAACAAACATAATCATCGAAGATCGATGAACCATTAAGAACGAATTCATAATTCGTTGATTGGTATGTAGTCTACTAATCCACTACAACGTAAACTACAGCTAATTCGACGATAAGAAATCTTCGAACGAATGAACATTTCGGAGGATACGCGAATACGTACCTACCTACGCATATTACATACGGCGAGTACATATTATACAGCCTGAAGCAGACATTTACTAACAGGTACGAGAAACGTTTGACGTGTTTTTGGTCGCATATGGGAGAGCAAGCGATTCGATAGGCACATCCTCGCTTACATAGGAGCTTTGCCCTTTAGCCAGTGTAATGTTCGTAATAGAAGATGAATATATACCTGAACACAGACGCGTAGAATCGGTACGATCGGCATCCGACCGGATCGCATGGCTTTCCCGTTCGTTCGGCATCTCGCGGTATTTACGTGGACCGTGTACCGGAAGCGTACCGAGTAAGGGAGAGTATTGCGGTACTTCCGGCACGTTCCTATTTCCCATTCGTCTATAATATGAAACTTGTTTTCTCGTTAAAATAAACTTTCTCTCGAGTAAACGCAACCAAGAAACGTATAAATGAGGATGAATAAGAGAAGGTGAGGAAGTGGTGGTTGGGGAAGAGGAGGGGGTGGCTGCAATAGAACTTCAATGACAATGATAATGATAATTATAACGATAATTATGATAAGATCGAGGAGGCAAGACTCGAAGATACTTTATTAAATTATCAGATGAATTTCTTCCTTTATTATAATAACTCTTAAGGATTTTGTTGAGGAAACTTAAGTCCGCCGCGTCGGTTTAATCCTACTGTTAATGAAACTTTGCTAGAGAAAAGCGACAGCTTACTATTACTCCCTTCGATCGTCTTTTATTAAACGTCCTTCTCTTCCTCGTTATAAACGTTCAACGTGACGAAGATTTGTTTTATTAAGAAACAATTGCAACTTCTTTATTTTTATTTTTTCCAACACCTTTCCTTTTATTTTCCCTTCTTTCCCTCTACCCCCTCCCCCCAACCTTCATCCCCACCATGTCTTTATGGATAAGGTATTAGCATCAAAAGTAACTCTTTGTATTTTCCTTTTTTCATTTTCTCTTTTCAGTTTCGACATGAGGGGAAAACATCCAGAAAAACAGTGGAAAAACAAGGACCATTTGAACGAGTTTACGCATTTTCGAATGGACACCGATCCAGCTTTGTTAATCATCAATAACGTCGAGGAAAAGGACGGGGGAGATTACAGATGTCGGGTGGATTTCAGTAAGAGTCCTACGAGAAACTCGAGGATCTATCTGAACATCATTGGTAAGTAACATATTTCCATATTTAATTATTCGCGTGTATTTAAATTTCTATATATGATACATGGATTGCAATAAACTTGCAATAAACGTGCAATAAACCTTGCAAATAACGCGAACAAATATATATATATAAATATATATAAATATATATCTATGTATTCGTTCCCACGTTATTTGCAAAGATATATATCAGTTGAAGATAGAAAATAAATATAAAGAAAAGAAGAAAAGGAATATAAGAGAGAAAGCAAAATAAAAAATAAAAAAAAAAAAAACAGAGAAAAAAAGTAGTAACGTGCACGGTATCCTCTTTGAAATTCATAACGATCTCACGGAAGAGGGAGCTCGCGATAATAATCTCCTGCAACATGTTGGCTGCGTATTCGCACCCTTCTTACGACGTTTTATCAGGGTAGCCACGTGCCGGTGTTGTAAGTACGCGGAAGCCGCGCCATTTTTCCGGGACATTAAACCCATACCGACGCTCATACCTTCCCATCCTTGCTCGCACCAATATCATCTTCTCTTATCCGCATTCACTTCTTCTCTCTCTCTCTCTCTCTCAGTCTCTCAGTCTCTCTCTCTCTCTCTCAGTCTCTCAGTCTCTCTCTCTCTCTCTCAGTCTCTCAGTCTCTCTCTCTCTCGCGCGCGCGTGCACGAGCTCTTCTTTCTCCTTTAAGAAACTTGTGGAAATAAGCAGCTGTTTCGCCGTACACAATCCGCAACATCGTTCTCCGATCTCGATTTTTCCACGTTAGACGAGAAAGGAGAAGATCTAATATTTTTTTCTTCTTATTTTCTTTCCCCAAGCAGTATTACACCTTCAATGTAATACATGACGTATATACATGTTAATAAATATATTAAAATTGGACGTACATATATTTTCAAATTTGTAAAGACGACTCGTTAAAAAGATATTATTACGATAGATACATCGATTACAGGTTCATGAGGTGATAACGATTTGCATATCAAATTTATTTACATTTAACTACGTGTATAGATCAACGGAACATTTAATTGGTTACCCTATCAATGCAAGGACCGACAGTAATGCTTATTGTCATAATACATCTACGGCATGGGAATTCGCACGGGCAGCACAAACCACGATTTATGTGGAAATTCGGCCAATAGGAAGCCTCGCATAGTTCGCATAGTTTAATGTGTAATCCATGTATCTGAACCTCTGGTACGCGTGTGTTCTATTATACTCTGCATATTCTCTATATAAATATATATAGATATATGTATATATATATATACATATATATATATATATATTTACAATATATATATAAATTTAGAGATGGGTGTGTATGTGTGTGTGTGTATTTATTTATATATTTATACACATGCACATATGCGCTTTAGCGATAGCGAATTGTTTTCTATATATTCTATAGGATTTATACGCGAGAGCATACATGCGATACATTTTATAGTCGGCATTGTATTGAGTTAGGTCGTTCGTATTGTTCCCAATTCAAAAGTATAATCGTAATAGTTGCGGAAACATGGAAGGTAAAGGTGTACCGAGCAATTTCCGAAAGTGAAAAAGCGTAGTGCTGGTGGATCAAAGGAGAAAAGAAGAAAAATTGATGGCAAAGTAAACGATAACGCTTTCTTTCAGTTACCGTTCTCTCTCTCTCTCTCTCTCTCTCTCTCTCTCTCTCTCTCTCTCTCTCTCTCTTTCTCTCAATTTTGTTCTCGTATCGTTAGATCGGATATTACGGATAACGTGAATGTAATTTTTTGCCGGGCTAAATGGCGGCTCTTAGGATACCGACACGATCAACCTTAAAGTCTTTCAGAGAGTAAGGAAAAGAAAAAAAGTAATAGATAACTATTTATTATAGTCCTGTCTATATATCGCATAGGTCTCGTTTATTTATTGTAGAAAAATTCGTTGGAATTGACAGACATACGTTGAAAACGAAAATAAAGTATTTTTCTAAAATGTTTTATTAATTTCGCAATATTAAACCGGGAAATCGGGTTAAATTTTCATGATTTAACTATCGTAGTTTCTTATCTTTTATGAACTATTCGATATCACAGTTTCGATAAAACCGTTTGTATTGAAGCTTTCAAACGGCACAGATATGAAAAGTTTATCGATTGGATAATTAGCAACCTATTTCCAATATAACATTCTACTTGATCCTTCGAGAATCGTTAAATTTAATGCTTTATTCGATAACGATAAAACCATTTCAATTCTCTAAATGAAAGCATTGCAAGTTCATCGTTCGTATTCGCGCGTTTGTAATTTCTAAATTCAAAAACCCGTCTATTTCGATCCGAAAGAGATTTCAATCCGAACGATCATCCATCAAAGCTTACGTCAACTCTTTATTCTTCGTAACTTTGTTTTCCATGTTCGCGATAATTTTCAATTCAATTCAATGGTAAAACGGTCCCCAGCAATGGGCGAATTACTAAGCCGATTAAACGTAGTAGTTCTCGACTGAGCATAATTCTGCTACTCCCTAGATTTTTTTTGTTCTATTCTTTTTCGCCTCGCTTTTAAAAGAGAAACTCGGAGCGCGCTTTTCATTGTGTTTACGAACGGAATTTGTACTTACCTATTTCTTTACACAAGGTCGCACGTGTATGATCGCGTTTACAACGGTATTACGAATCTTTTTATCGTTTTCATCTAAAGCTTTTAACTTCGACGGAATAATTACTCTAGTATCATTATATTTTAGTTTACCCTGTATTCGAGTATCTTATTCCGACAATATTCGACTCGTACAATAGGGTATAAAGGGAGAAAAAAAGAAAAAAAAAAAAAAGAAATAAAACGACAAAATCCGAACAATATTTTACTTATAATGGGTAAATCTACGATGGGTAAAAATCACGGATGCGGAATGCAGAATGTAAAAAAGATTTAACGTTTCCCAACATGCTGGGACAAAATCGATGATTCCTCGTAGTTCTCGTTGTCACATTATACCGACAAATATCTCACTGCTCCTTCGTAATGTCGTATAATATTCGAACAAATCTACTGAGAGTCTTCCGGCGTCACAAAATACTACCATTTCCGTTCCCTGATCGGCAATATTTTCGCGTCGTAATGGCGTCGCTCTTTGGCTTCTTACTGGACGAATAAACGAAGAAACTAAATTACTTTCCTTAAGCCGTATCCGTCGTTCAATAAATATATAAAACAATGTAAATAAATCCCCGTTCGTAATTCATTCCTGATTATTTTTCTTTTTTGCTCGTGATATCATCTAACAGTTTAAGACAAAAAAAAATAGCTAATTAACATTTATGTTACATTTGAGTTATTGTGTCCTCTTCAAACATATTTTTAATAAAGAAAAAGGTCAAATTTTAATGTCAATGTTTTAGCATACATTATTATTAAAATTAATAGCTATATTAAGTAAATTGTACAAAATCATTTTGTGTATATATAGTTTGTTACTTTGAACTGTGAACACACAGATGATATGTACAAAAAAAAATATATGTCAAAATAATTGTAACGTTATTATTTCTCTTTGATATTTGTTTTTTCTCTTTCAGTGCCACCACATTCGCCTAACATTATCGACGAACATGGAAATCCTGTATCGAAAGTAACCGGACCATACGAAGAAGGTGGCGATATGAAGTTAACATGCCTAGTCTCAGGAGGTAGGTTATATTATACATTTTTCCCTTCTATGTTGGTATATCGTAATGCAGGAAAAGTAAAAAGTAACGATAGGAAAATAACGCAATACGATCGACCGTTTTTATCGCGTTTGCGTCTTATTAAAGGTTTATCTTTTTTTTTTCTTTTTTTCAAAGCCCTTTAGAGAAAATTTGATCCATTAAGATAAATCTTTGAAGAAAAAAAAAAAAAAGTAGGCGAAACGGAAGAAGCCTGGTGGTCGTAGAGCACGCACCCCTATTCCCTCCCCCCTCCCCAACCCGTTACGATCATCCCTCTTTGGCTTTGCTTCACTCATTTTATCTTCTTTTGGCTCTGCTCTGGTTTTTACCTCATTCTGGCTTTAGTTTACCCCTATTATATTTTAATATCTGAGCGAGCGTTACGTCGACGAAGGCAATAACGATAATGAATTTATTTTTATTACCTCGTATGAACGTCGCCTAAAAGAGACACGTCGAATTTATACGACAAAGCTTGGATGAGTTCTTCTTCTTTTTTTACTTCTTCTTCTTCTTCTTCTCCTTCTTCCTCCTCCTCCTCTGCTTAGCCACCAAGTTTTACTCTGCTTCTTTTTTTTTCCACACTGTTCTTTGAGTTTTCCCCAACTCCATTTTTGCATTGTCACTGAAACAGCGAAAATGGATCCATGGAAAAAGATAATGAGGCCGTAGACGTACGACCCTTCGACCTTCCCGTTCTTCCTGTCTTCGTTACGACCAACCCTCCCTATATTCATCCTTGAGAATTTGTTCTTTCTCACGCAACGATTATTATAAATTATGAGTTAACGAACACCCCATTCCCTTATCACTCTCTCTCTCTCTTTTTTATTCGCTCGAGTAACTTTCATTTTTAATTCTTATTTTCAATGAATTATTTCAATAATATAATAACCAACTTTCTATTATATTTAAAAGTGTCAAATACCTAATAAATGTAATATAGATTTTTAATAAAACCATTTGATTATTATTTTTCAGGTCGTCCAGAACCGACGGTTAAATGGTGGCGAGGTGAAACCTTATTAGATTCGAAAGACATGTCAGGAGAGTTTCCAAGCCTTCGTCGAAATACTTTGATCGTGACCGATCTCTCTCGAGCTGATCTACACGCTGTCTTCACCTGTCAGGCTTCCAACAATAACATCAGTCAACCTGAATCTGTCTCGGTCGCGATCGAAATGCATCGTGAGTAAATTCAACCGTTTTCTTTTAGCCTTTTATTCGTTTTTCTTTAGACAACGTTACTAAAGACAAACTTCTCTCTCTCTCTCTCTCTCTCTCTCTCTTTCGTATCTTCTTAGAAACCAGCTTGGGTTTCATTATCTCACGAATCCAAATTATACGACACTTCTTGCATCTGCATACATATGTATGCGAATGGAGGAGCTTGTTAAGGAGACACGTATTTTGCCCAACCCGCTTGAATCCTATTCCACCTTTCTTTTTAAAGAGTCACTGCTGCTGCTGCTGCTCCTTCTTCTTTCTTTCTTTCTTTCTTTCCTTCCTTCCTTCCTTCCTTCCTTCCTTCCTTCCTTCCTTCCTTCCTTCCTTCCTTCCTTCTTTCCTTCCTTCCTTCCTTCCTTCCTTCCTTCCTTCCTTCCTTCCTTCCTTCCTTCCTTCCTTCCTTTCTCTCTTTCACTTTTTCGCATATGAAATATTAGGATATTTTATAAATTTACATGATTACGCGGGATCTCTACCACCACTCTCTTTCATTTGAAACATTCATGTTGCTAATTTAGACGCTTTTCGCCAAAAGAAATACCCACTCGCGTTATTCCAATTGCCATTTCAAATGATTTTCCTCGTTCCATCTTGTAAAAGATGGTGGTAGAGTTTGGCTTAACTCCCGAGGGAACTTCAACGGGACCGGTTGAAACGTAAGTAAGAAACAGAAAAGGACGGAACTATACTATAGCGAGAAAATAAGAAAACGAATGGTAAACAAAATAAAACAGAAGGAAAATGAACAAGAAAAAAAAGAAAAAAAAAGAAAGAAAAGAGAGAGAGAGAGAGAGAGCATTTTCGTTGGCCAGTGTCGTTTGTTTCTTCGAGTTTAACAAGCTCCAGCTGAAAGTGACTTTTCTTTTTACTTTTTCTTTCATTTCCCCCCCCCCCCACGCTTTTACCTTACTCTCTTTTCCTTCATACTACCATCTCGTTGAGACAGACCTTCTTCTCTTCTTTTCTCTTCTCTTCTCTTTTCGGATGAGAATGCGTTTACGAATAGAGTCAAAGAGAAAAATCTGCGTTGTTAAGCAAACGAAGCTGGAACCTGGCCTAAGAAAAAGTATTTTAAGTTGGACGTAACCGCGAACGCAAACCGCGCTTCCCTTATTCTTTCGTCCTCAGTCAACCAACCAACCACCACCACCACCACCACCCAAGTTCCAACCCTCCAACCTACCCCTTTTCTTTAGTTTTTTTCTTCTTCATGTTTTTCTTATTTTCATTTTTTTTTATTCCTATTCGTTTTCTTCTTATTCTTATTCTTCTTATTATTATTATTATTCTTTTTCTTCTTCTTTTATTTCTTATTTTCTTCTTTCTTTTTACTTCAACTTTGTCAGAATACCCGAGCGATCGAACGAAAAAACTTGGCCGAAGAAAATGCGAAGAGAGAAACCTTTTCTGTTGTTCTAAGAAAAGAAATACGAAAGATGCTAGTAGTATAAATTCTTTCGAAATATATTACGCTCGAGCAAGTTTCTTCCTCTCTCCGAATAAGAAAGTAAATTTTCTTCTAAAGGTTCATACTCTATAATCGATCGAACTCGAGCGAATTTATTTGCCATGCATATTTATTGTTTGGCCAAATCATTTGGCTCTTTTCGTAAGATTTCGAAAGATTTTATGAATACCAAATAGTAGTCGTATACTTACGTTACATTAATATTTACCGACATAAAACTTGGAAATACAAAATATAGTAGCAACCAAAAAAAAGCAACAGGAAACGTAATTATAAATGAACGAAACGAAAAGAAACGAAAATTCTAAACAAGTCTGGTAAGAACAATGAGTTATTTGTTGGAAAAGGACTAGACGTTAGGAAAAAACAAGCTGCGAAAATTAAAAAAAAAAAAAAAAAAAGAAACAAAATGAAAAAACAAAAATGCGTAATTTTTGTTAATAATAATACTAAGCAAGTAAAAGGCTCGCGCGCACAAGCTATGTCTTAAAGATATCCTAGATTTTTATTAAATTCCACTGAAAAGTCTGAAGAATGAGAACGATCTGAAGACATGCCAGAAGTTACGTCACTACCAGCTTTCTTTTTTTCCTTTCTTTCCTTTTTCTACGTCTTCTTTTTTACTATTGTCTGAAATATGAGAATATCTTTAAGCGGAAATGTCGACTGGCAACTCGAGAACTCCCATTATAAATTTAATAGAGAAATAGCGACGCGAGAAGGAATGCACTAGCATGAAATTTTTACAAATATACGACAAAAAATTGTTGAGAAATTAAAAAAGAATAAGAAAATAATAATATTTATTCGTAATATATCGTTCGAGAAGAAATGGATCGAATAATGTCCGTAATTATGGTGTTAGATACCCCAATATGAAGTCGGCATAACTAAATTTAAAAAGTCGCAGAAATTTATTTCATTAATATTATTAATAATATACTTTTTAACAATATTATAACTATGAGAGTTATGATATATAAAAATCATATCATATTTAAAAATTGACTATAAATGAGTTCTAATAAATTAAGATAATGCGAAAGGATATTATTAAAATGAGATTTAAAAGATAGATCAGAAGATAATATAATACCTAGATATTTTTAATAGAATCTCTAGCGAACAATGAGGAATTTATAAACTAATTAAAAGGCAAAATTTGAGCAAAATTAACAAATTCTAAACGATTCCAAATTAATTTGGCAACAATACACGTATAGTACGTTTCTAAATTAATGAGAATAAAAAAGAAGACAACATAAAATGTATACTCACGGTCGTTAAAATATTTGTTCGGATAAAACGGGAAAGTTTGAAAAAATCTGAACTAAATCATTAAATGAAAACATAGAAAAAATATTACAGTTACTTATATTATAAAATAAATCATAAAATCGATTCGTCGAATTATTTTATTTATTTACTTCGCTGTCATAAATACCATTGGCACGATATTAATGGTTTTCATAAAAGTGAATAAATTCATTTGATTTATATATCTTTCTCAATTCGATCTCCAAATAAAAAAAAAAAAAAAAAAAAAAAAAAAAAAACGTGTGTAGCCTCCCACACAGTCAATTATGTTCATTTTTTTTCTCAATGCATACTTATTTACACATTACCTCGTTAGATTCACGTTAGCGTTTNAGTTACTTATATTATAAAATAAATCATAAAATCGATTCGTCGAATTATTTTATTTATTTACTTCGCTGTCATAAATACCATTGGCACGATATTAAATGCTAAAATAAAAATGAAATCGTTAATCAAATTGGTTCAACGGTATCTTTAAATCTTCAAAAAAAAAAAAAAAAAAAAGAAAAATGAACGTGTGTAGCCTCCCACACAGTCAATTATGTTCATTTTTTTTCTCAATGCATACTTATTTACACATTACCTCGTTAGATTCACGTTAGCGTTTTACATTTTCATATATTAATAAATGAAATTCCAACATCAGTCTCTGAGTATTTTTCCGTACTGCAATATCTTCCTCGCGTAAATACATAAATATACATCAATATGCGTGTGTTTGTTTTCTTTTTTTATGCAGTAGCAGCAAACTATTGTAGAGTATATGCTGCGACGATCGATTCAAAGATATCAAACGTTTGAACGATCCAATCTACTTTTTAGATACGGGTTTAAACGTATGCGTATAAATATGCGGATATTTAGTGAGCATAAAAATGAAAAAAGAAATAAAAAAAAAACAAAACATGCAAGTAAATATACCGATCAAACGATAATAAAAGTGTACTTGTCTTAAGCCCGGATGGTACGCGTTAAAAAGAAGACACATAGATTGGATTGTAAAAGTGTTAACGTGTTAACAAAAATAACAATAATACATACGCTTACCTATACCAATATGATTCGGACTATCTCCGTGACGTTTACAATAATGGGGTACTAGGAGTAAAATAAATATTTGCACGATTAGAGCACGATGATAGATAAAATAGAAAAGTCCTACGAAATGACGTGAAATAGAAAAAATGTAAAAGAAACTGACTAATTGTAAAAGGAACAAAAAAAAGAAAAAGAAAAAAAAAGAAAAAAAAAAAAGGCATAGCACGAAAGTAACTAAACGCGATAAATCGTGTGAAAATAATTTTCCACCTTTCTCGTAGTCACTTTTCTATCCTCGAGTAGATTTACATAAAAGCCCGTAGCGTAACACCTTAAAACACGTATCGTCGTAAAAATATCTACATAAGTCCGATGCTAAAAAGGTTGGCTTGCGCAAAGTGTTTCTTAGAAGGAACGCCCGAAGATAATTACACGCTTGGATCATAAGCCGTTGGAAAACACGCCGAAGCAACCCGAAGAGCTTATTTTTCTTTTTATATCCAATTATTTTTAAACTCCCTCGCAAACTATCCGAGTCGTTTTCCCTTACAAACGATAAAACACAGGTCACGAGAATAGATAAAATAATAAAAATCATAATAATGTATTATATACGTCGGAGATGGGGGGAAGGGAGAGGGAGGTGGAGAGGTAAAAAATCGAGTAACACGAAAAAGATTGAAGAACGAGGAAATAGAAAAATAGATAAAGAAATAATGTAATCACAACTGCATTATTCGATATTCGAATGTTAATCGCGATCGAAATCGAAATAAAATGGAAAAAAAGTAAACGGATGTATATCACGAAATAATAATAAATATAACTTAAAGAGATAAAATAAAAATAAAAATAGAAGATGGAGTAAGAGGAAGAGTTAGTTCGCTACTTACTTTCCTCGTTTGAAATAATGGAGAAAATAAGTATACCTTATCGACGTAGATCCATAAGTACGTATTTTCAAGATATTATGGTCGGGGAGGCGTCCTCTTAGTTTCTTCAGTTTTATCGTTCAAAACCAAAGAAACTCGGTTCGCGATATGCCGCTTCAAATCTTTTTCCTTGCACTTTGACCTCTCTTTCTTTCTCTCTCTCTCTCATACGGAGAGAAGAAGTCCAATCTACGAACAGATCC